ATTTTTTTTATTTATAAGTTAACTTCTGGAAGGATGAAAATGATCTGTACATGTAATGCTGTTTAGTGTTGCAAAAGAAATCTTTGTAGAAGACAGCTGTTCATAAAGTCTGTCTGTAACAAATGTGTACAAGGGAGAAAGAAATGAGACGCAATTGAAAAATACTTTCAGCCTGTATTCTTGCAATGAGCTTTCTATTTTACAAAATCTAAAATTCAGCACATGAAAATTATGCTGGTCTTTTAGGTAGTTACCATGTATGCCATGTATGCATGGAATTTACAAAATGCCACATATCAAAAAGCACAGTTTAATATCACTTGAGGTTTAGAAAATGATGTGAAAATGACACTTCAGATTTTGCTTTGCTCTGTCTAGTTAGATGGATCACTACTGCACAGCCTCTTTGTACACTTCTAAAGAAAATGTATGTAAAATACTAAGGGCCTGACTGTGCCAATCTATGCATACACAAGTAGCTGCACTGTCTGAGTAATATATCTTTTTAATAACTTTTAATCACATGGAGTAATGGCTGCAGAATTTGTGCTTGATATGATCTGCATATGCCAACATTTCTCTCACAGTAAATATTCTTACATGTGCATAAAGGATAGAACTTAGTGACAACATACTTTGTATTCTACTTTTCAAAGCAAGTAGAATGGATTTTGTGTCTATGGTGTTCTTGCAATGTGAACTTGCTTTTGATGACTTCTCTTTGTGGATTCCCTTCCCCAGGTATATTCAGATCTTTCAATGGTGAGTGGTGCACCTCTTATTACTGTTGACCCAGATGACACAGCCACTTATGCTTTGATTATATCTCCGTGGAGACGAGGAGTCTTTCAAGGTACAATATAGAACTCAAATATATAAAATATCCCTATTAATTAGCAGCTTACATCTATTTACAATTAATGTTTACATTTTTTCAGCCTAACCTTTATTCTGGAAGGAAGGCTGTGATTACTGTTTTTTAAGCTGGCTCATACTTTTATTTGTGAAGGTATCATACTCCTAAATATGTGGCCAGGTCCTTCAAAAATGCCAAATAGGTACAACTTTTTACATTTAATTGAGGTCATGAAAATTGACTCAACAGGAAAGAATGATTTTGAATTGTCACCAAGTTATTAGGTCTAAATTTACTTTTCCAACACCTCTTGAATACAATCCAAAATGCTTAGTGTGTAGAGTTGTGATTTTTTGTGGGCTCCTAACTCCAACCACCTAATTCTGCTCCCTTCTTAGACAATTGAGATTAATGACAGCTGTTTTCTCAGCATTAAAAAGCTATTAAGTCTTGTCCCCAAGGATGCCAAACTAGTTTGGTCTTTTGTCCATTTTGGTTTTAGTATCTGATATGTAAAATGTAGATAATAATACCATCTCAATTCACAGGTGATTTGTGAAAAGAAATTAATGCATGCAGCAAAGCTTGGCCTGCTGCTGTAGAAAGACCTCAGTCCCCTGATCTATAGCCCTCGGACTAAATTCACTTTATATGCACAGGAGTCGTGAAATTTGTAACCATCAGAAATGTGCACCAGGAAATATTGAGGATGTGTTGTATTTTAACTTAAGCCTTTTTTAAAAAAATTAAGTATTTAGGAATTATCTCTTCTTCTGCCTTAGAAAATCACCAGTTCTTTTATATATATGGAAAGTTTTGGTAGATGGGGCTCCAAGGGATACAGCAAATTAATAGCAGGTGATAAAAGCCTTGCCTTCAAAGGCACAGAGATGGATGTTCAGAGCTACATCTCCTATGTTCTGTCATTCCCCTGACTTCTATTACAATGGTTTCCATTCTGTTTTGAAGTATTATATGTTCACCCAGTGAAAAAAAGAGAGAACAGTCAGTGTCTCTAACCTGACAAAAAGTTACTGCTTCAAATGCCGTGAACACACATATGCTCTTTTTCCTAGAAAACTTCATTTATTTTATACTTTAAAATAAGTTGATAGAAGGCTAAAGTTATCTTTTGAAAAGAGACAGGGCCCAGTTATCTGCAATCCACCCCCTGGCTCAGTGCTTGCTTTAATCACTACCTTAGGAAATCATCTTCATTCTTCCTCTGGAGCAGAGGGTTGGTTATGTTCCCAAAATTCATGCACACTCTTTAGTCCTTCAGCTGCTGCAGAGGGGAGAAGGGTGGAGGGAAGAGAGGCCATTGTCACAGGTTTGAAAGGCACCAGCTGATTCTGCTGGCTGATTTTAGGTTTGATATAAACCTAACTACCACATGTCCTACCTAGGGTAACACGTTAGGCTTCAACAAGGATGGAACTCTGTCTGCTTCAGACTGTGCCAGGCTGGGAAGTCACTTTTGCTCTCCAAAGCAGAATTTTTAAGTCCTGGGAAGCTTCAGTGTCAAAGCTGAGATAGATAGACACATTTTTGGCACTTTCAGGATTTTTCAGCAGCCATCCTGCAGCTTGAGGGTCAGAGATTAGATGTAGGTGATTCAAGTCGGGAATTAGTTAGGAATCTTAGTTCTTTCTAGGTTCAAGATACTACAGGCAAAGTATAACTTAAGCACTACTCAAAAAAGGTATTCTTTATTCAGTTTGGTGAATTTGTTTAGAAAGAGGTGATTGGGCCCAGCATTTTGAATGACTGGAAACAAAAAGCAATGCTCCAAAGTTATCCAGAGAGTGAATAAATTTCATCCGGCAGGGAAAAATGAACAACTATTTAGATATCTAGTTGAAGACTCTATTATAGTGCCAATCGATAATTTCTAGTTTAGAACTTCCTAACTTGTAAATAGAAAAGTTTGTAGCCTTGGTGTTCTAGTACTTTTTTTGTCATATTAAAATAAATTCTAATAAAAGAACTTGTACAAGTTGTACTGAGCCAATGATCTGCATTTTTCAGTTACATTCAAAGTCCTTTTAGTTGCAAAATTACATAGCTACAAAATTATGCTTCTTTTGCTTTCTGTCTTGCTGGTTTATGGTTGCTAGGCTAAAAATGGGCCCAGTTCTTTTCAAAAGTCCATTTGAAAGCATTCCAATAGAGTGCTAATATTATCTGCTTCAGCTGGTTTGTAGGTGCACGACAGCTTTAGCACAGAAGTAATAGCTAATAAACACCTCACACAAGATTCTGTCACGAGATAAAATTCTTCAGCAGTAATAGAGCAATTTCCTTTACCTTTGATTAAGTGTCTTCTACAAATTGCTTTATCTTTTATAGAATTTTTATTTCTGTTTTCCACAGAATAGATCAGAATTTTTCCAGAATAGACCAAAGCTCATGATGCTTGAATATGTCTTGTGCTTCCTAGTAGCATTGACTTCAGTTACATTTTATTTGCCTTTTTTTTTCTTTTAAGAGTGGCATTATTCTAGCATAATATTACAATCAAAAGTGATCACGAGGCCATTTTATTAAGACTCAACCCTCCTAAAATGAAATTAGACTCCTAGAATGGTTTGGATTGGAAGGGACCTTAAAGATCATGGAGTTTCATGCAGCTTCCTGCAGGACTAAAGTCACAGAGGCTTCCTGAGCCTGTGGGACCTGTGTGCTGTCCTCTCCCCCTCTCTGCTGCTCCCTGTTCCAGCTCCCACATCAGCTTTGCTCTTTAGCTGTTCCAGTAGCTAGGAAAGAGCTAAATTCAGCTAGTCAGGAGCACAGCACATCCTCTCTGCCATGGGATCTGTTACCACACCTCTAAACCACTCAAAACTGAAAAGCAAATACCCCTAGGTATAGGTATTTTCAAATCTGATTGTTCTGGGCTCTCCTAAAAACATATTGATTTATTAATAGTTCCACTGTTAATAGTATATCAAACCCTTAATAAATCACGATAAACAATTTCCCTTTGGGAGACAATTCACATACATTTTAATAATCTTAAATGGGAAATTTTCTTACTATATAATAGCATGGGTCACCTCCTCAAATTAGTTTTTATTGTACCTATGAGGCAAGAATTAAGCCTGCAACATATATTTATTTTAGCTGTTAAACTCTCCAGAATGTATTGAAACACTGAGTAATTTAGATACAATAGTAGTGATGCGTAGTTTGTGTATATTTAAAACTCTTGGACAGCAGCACATAATGGAAGACATGAAAACTGCTCATTTAAAGCTGGTACATCAAATCTTCCAGAACAGCATTAATGTTATTTAAAGGGACCATATGCATACTGGATTTTTTTAAACTAGATTTTGTATTATTAACTAGAGATCTGCCAATTTAAAAATCCTGGGTTTTCAGTCTCTATGTATTTTATCTTCCTGAAATACTTAAGTGCAACTTAACATACAACGCAAAAATATATCCCAGGAATATTTTAACCATTGTGTTTATTATCTTCTAGCATTAGAATGATACACTGATTACAAAAAATAGCAGAAAAACTCAAGAATAGAAATTTGAGCTAGGAAAAATGTGCTGTTGTTGAGCACCAAGTTTTGTAACTTTTTTTAAGTGGATTTGCTTGTTTTACTTACCACTGTTCTTTTCAGATATTTATCACAGATCTGTTCAGGTAAGTAGAAAAGCACTTTTGGGAGAAAAAATGGTTAATTTCCTTTTACTCGCTTGAGACCTATTTTTATAGCCATAAATTATAATTGGATGGCTGACACCTGCAGTGGAAGTATTACTTCATATTTTATTAGTATTGAACTGAGGAAATACTTGTACATGTCTGGCAGTCTGTTTTTTAAAGCTAATGCCCTGGCTAATAGAGCACCTGCTATCTATTTATTTTAGGTGTAATTTCATTTGTTGCTGAATGTGAAGACCAACAGCAGCCTCGAGATAACAGCTCACCAGAGAAGACAGATGGTGAACAGTCCCTTCAGAAATTGTCAACAGAGACACCACAAACTCTTGATGCAGCAAACATGGGTATGTTTGTTATTATGGAGAAGACTGTTGTCAATTTTTATAAATATATCTCATAATTTGTTTGAAAATTAATGTATATTTAGCATGCCAGGCCATATGCCTGCAAATAGTGTTAAGTAAAATTTTTATTGCACAAATTTATGGAACTTCCTTTGATGTATTTTGTAGCATTTTTATGAAATGTTAAGCTGAGCTTGATTTTTGTTTTTCCTCTTATTTTTTTTTTTTTCCTCAATGATGTCACTAGATGTTGCTTGTTGTCAGAGAGGGACAGAATTTTGTAAACATTTTCTTTAAAACTATCTAATAATAGTAATAGTGCTGGTGTCAAAGCAGTTAATTTCTGAAATTCATATTGCTCCACTTCATTCCACTGTGGTAAAAAGTCTTCAACCTGTCAGTCATAGATGCCACTGAGGAAAGAATCTGCTGAAAATAGCCAAATAGAGTTGGAATATAGCAATACCTGATCTCACCTCCATGATAGTCTTCTTCTGAACTTTATTCAAAGAGGAACTAACAGACTCTTAACTTTGTCCTACACAGTTTTATTTTACCCCTATATTTTTATGGCAGTTTTACATAAAAATTAATTATTGTAAGACTTTTCAGAGTAGAATGACTAATGGATATTTCCAAGATTTAGGATTTAGTAGTTGTAAGGTTCACACCACTAGCAGAATGCAAATTCCTTGCATTTGACCCAGAGGCATCACACACTGAAGAAGTACATGTTGGAGCTGAGCATCCCCAGGGCTAATGTGGCTGATCTTGGGTAACAGAAAATAGTGGATTTCTGATGTAGGAAAAATGAATAGACAGATTTGAATCAATAGAGGCCAAAACAAGTATGAGGATGTTCATAGCTGAGTAATGCTAGGAAAAAATCTCTAATGATAAACAAGTACACCAAAGCTTTTTGTCTTGCTGTCACTCAATGAAAATTATACCTTTTAAACATACTAGAAATTACTACCTTGTTATACACGACTTAACATTCAATGTCATCTTCAGGTGCACACACATATGCATAATGTAGGCATATATGCATTTATTTACCTTTTTCCTGTTTTCTTCTTCAAATTAAATTGCAATTATGATTGTAGGAGAAGATGATGATTTCTGGAATAGCTTTCATATATTAATTTCATAATTTCAATCAAAATCACTCATTTTGCTCTTCCAAAAAGCTAATGATTCTGAAATTTGTTGATGATTTTTTTCTGCTTCAGATGTTTTTAAGAAAAAGCACATTTAGTACTTGCAGTGAAAACCACAGTGATTCCTCATGACAAATCCTTTTTGTGTTGCCTCGTACCGGGGGGGGGGGGAAGAACAAGCCAAAACCCAAACAGAAACATGTCTGCAGAGCAGATGTAGTGACAGGGGCCTGCACTTTTCTAAACTGACATGGGGTCTTAGTTCTTTCCAAAACATATTTCTGTCTTGGAAGACAAGAGGTCCTATGGCTTTTTTCTCATGGGAGCCAAAAGTAAAACAAGGCTGAGTGTTTGCTAAGACTGAAAGTAGGATGAAGCTTGTCTTTTAGGTAAGATTTAGCTTTAGATATTCCTAGATAATTAAGTGCTGAAATCATAAATAAATATTAGCCATTAATAGGTATGTGTGTTACAGTCTCACTTTGAAGTCTCCTACACTTGTTAAAATTTCCTCTCAGAGGAAATTTTTTACTCTACTATGGAGTTCATGGGAACTTCTTGAACTGAACTGCCCTTGGACAATTGCCCCTGTGTTGTCCTCTTTGCTGTGGAGCTGTGGGCAGTGGGGAGGATGTTGGGCTCAGCTTCTGCTAGACCAGCTCAGTCTTCCTCAGGAATTTGATCCCCTGTAAAGAAGGGTCAAGATGGGAAGTTGGCCCATTTGGTGCAGTGGCTAAGGCTTGCACTGCAACTGCAAATCCTCTCTCCTCTCCAGCAGCAAGTCTCAGCATGGAGCTGGCATTAAGCAACAGCTTTTCAGGTTCTGCCAGCAGTGATGTCTCTCAGAGCTGAGTGCTACAGATGCAGAATGTTTGTTTGTAAACACAGGGGAATTTTGCATGTGCTGTTGTCTTATTGTGAGTGCCCTAAGCGCTGCCTTTATCAAAAACACTTCCCATTGTGTTTGTCTTATGGAATGCATTTAGATTTTTATGCCACTGTCAAGTTTTTGAATTTCCTTGTACTTGAAAGGCATAACATCAAAAAGATGCACTACTTGCAAGTAGGCCATGGTGAAAAAGCATAGTCAAAGTGGTTAGGCCAACATTCATTCTGGGAAAGCCTTTTAATTTTCTTTTTTAAGCTAATTTGTCCCTCAACCAAGCCTCCAATGGCAGGCAATGTGTTCCAGCCTGCGTTTTCATTCTAGTTCTTATGTCTCTGAAAGTCCAGGGTCTTCCCCACTGTGTTTTAAAACTGCTTCTGAGTGGGCTCTTTGAAGGAATGATGACTTTGCTACGTAATCATTCTTGCACATGTGAACCTCCTGGACTTCCATCCCTCAGGGCTGAACATCTGTGGTAGCACATTGGAGTATTCACATAAGGAAGATAATAAAATAATGACTTTGTTCTAACAACTGTGTAAGGTGATTAAGAGGAAAACAATACTCAGGATGGCAAAAATTAAAAATAAGGCTTTGCATTAATTCATTGTAAGTTTTTTGAAAGATCATAAGAACTGAGTATGCAGTGGTGAATGATAAGATTTATTCAGTATTAATGCAGCAAAAAATGATTCGCATAATTTAATATATTAAAGATATAATTGATATGTCTCACATGCATTTTTTTTAATGGAAGTACTATATTTCTAACAAGACTGCTCTTAAAAATAATTTTGAGTTACCTGCCCCATAAATTTTGATGGTGTAGTAAAGCTATTTCGTAGTCAAATCTGCACACTATGTTCAAGCATGGTGTGCTCCACCTTCAGATTAGTTTCTTTTAATAGAAACTAATTTTCTCCAGGGGGAAAAAAAAGTTTGAGAAGAGCTACCCAAAGAAAATAATCCCCATGTAAAATGCATGCATATTTGCAAATTTGAAATACAACCAGTCTTGCTTTTCTTTTCTTTTTTTGATAGCATTTTAGCATGTGCAGTTACACTAGTCTGTACAAGCTTTTGGAGATGGTTTAGCGTATGTAGAACATTCAGAATCAGATTGTTCTATGTTTTATTCCTTTATCAAAAAGAACATTCAATTACTGCTGGCTTTCTCAGTAGGTGTTCTTCTGCAGTTCTGCAGTCTGCTAAATGTTAAGCATTTTCCTGTGTCCTTTTTGAGCCTCAGAACTGCTTGATTCCCTTAATAAACTAACATATTGTTTCAAAACAATTCAGATGTAGCAATGCTCCAGGGACCTATGGCCCACACGGAGTGTTGTGGGACATAGTATGTGTGCAAAGTGTGGCAGCCCATTTAAAATAAAGAACAGAAGCAATTTGTAACTGCTCACGGTGTAAAGCTGCTGTGAACTTTAGGTTCCATCCTCCTTCCTGCTGCAGGTGTTGTATTAGTCACTCCTTTTGTAGACCTGTACATCTGTATATTTCTGGATATCATAGTGTATAGGATTGCATTGGCATAGAAGCAAATTAAATTTTATTACCTAATTAAAATGTCTGTGATGTACATTATGCCAGTTCCAATAGTCTCTGTAAACCATTTTGCTGAGAAACACATTCATTCTGTCATGTCTGGCAGACCTCAAATGTGTATGTATGGAATTTTGTCAATTAGCAACACATTTAATGAAAAAATATTCTGCAAAACAAAATCCCTAGCAAAAATAATGAGTGGGGCTTATTACATGATAGGTCAGGTGTAAACCCTTCCTAGTAGTCTGTGATAGAACACACAGAGTGTGTGGACACAGAGTGGAGTGTGTTGTGAGGACAACATTAATGGTGCCCAGGCAATGAGAATATGTGTCACTAACAGCCTGGAAAGGTCTTTTTGAGAATCAAGAAATCATCCTGTGTTATTTCTTTGCCTGTTATTGCTAGAAACCATACCAAGTGTTTTATTTAAAACTGCAATTTAATCTACTTATTTCGATTGCTCTGTTAGCTCTACAAATATTAGGTAAAAATGCTGTAGAAAGAACTCGCATTAAATTTGAAAAATCAATTAAACTCAGCTTTTTCTTTAGGTAGTCATACTATTGATGCCAATATGAGAAGTCAGTAAAATTAAGATAAAGTATTTCAAAGAAATTAATTTTATTTAGCACTACAGTTCCAGTTTCCCCATCAGGTCCATATCCACACCTCCACTCCCAAACACTCCAGAATTCTACAATTTTCAGGAGACCAAGCCAAATCTTCCTTCATCATCTGTGATATGTCATTGAGCTGAATGATAGGCAGCTGTGCCCCAGACAGGAGAGAAGAATCTTTTCTATTTTTAACTGCTAATGCTTGACAGCACATTTAATGGCTGGTGTAGCAGACACAGGACAAAAAGTAATTTTAAGGAAAGGACGAGGAAGGGGATAGAGAGATCAGAAATTTCATCTTGTGGCTAGATATGGTAGTAATGTATTCTCATTCAAGTGAGTAGAGAAAAGCATCTTTTGAGTAGAAGAAAGAGATTTCACAACTGATAACCCTTCAGGACATAGTACAAAGTATAAATTTAAAAGTGTATGGCTTACAACACTGACTCATTAGGCAGAATTCTATAACATTTTTAAAATTGCTCAATAAAATTGCAAGATCTGGCATGGGAGAAACAGTTTCTTTGAATCATGAAGGAAAAGTAGGCCAAGACACAAGACTGATTGGATTACAAATGGATGTTCAACCCACTGGAAGAAAAACTGTTGATTTTGATATGTCATATAAGCTGGAATGAGGTTTGGAAGGGAAGTTTGAAATTGTAACCTGAAATGCTTATTGAAGGTTCAAGTTCAATTTTCATGTAAATTGTAATTTAGTAGTTTTAAATACAGAACTGCCTATTCACAAATGTTATTAGTGTAGCTAAATATTAATTGAAGTAATGGACTTATTATTAAGGAATGGATACAGAAATACCAGAAACATGTTTGGGTTTTGGTTTTGTCATCCCCCCAGTTCAGGATAATACATGCAATAGGAAGTACACAGCTTTCTATGCTGCCAATCATTAATAAGAAAAGGGACAAAATAATCAGGGCAAGTTCTACAAACTAAAAATAAGTAAACTCTTTCACAGTGATGCTGATTCAATGTGCAGTAGCTAATATATGTAAGATGTTGATTTGCTCTAACCATGGATGACAGATGCTTGACCCTTACTAGTCAAGGCAAAAGCCTATTGACCAAGGGAGAGACCAAAAGAGAAGATAGTGAGATTAAATATTGAAATAGATGCATTCTTATGTTCAGAAGATTTTCCCTCACTCCTTTTTAGTAGTGATTTCTGTCTGAAATCCTGACTACGGTTTGTTTTGTTTATGTTATGAGATCTGACAGGATCATGACCTGCTGGTTGCATAAAGGAGGCTAAGGATTATTATTTGTCATTGAAGCCCCAGAGTGAGAAGATAAGAGATACAGGCCTGAAGTCAAATGGAGTTTATCTCATAAGACATCAAAGTTTGTTGCTCAGGCCTTAAGAAAAGACTTCAAATGAATTAAAAATGTCAATGCAAGTTAGAAAAGTGGAGCAAAAAAGAAAAGTGCCTATTCTCTTTCCTGCCTGTTGTTAAATGTGTGCAGAAAACAGGGACAGATATAATCTTGTTCTGTAAGTCACAAATGAGCCATTTCTGTGTTTCAGCATGAGTGTATTGAGTTTATCTCCATGAGACGTTTTCCCAGCATCTACTACCTGCTAAAGTAAAACTCTTAAAAAACCCTAACAAAACCCCAAACTCCTGACTTTCTGCTCTGTATATCAGCAAATTGATTTCTAATACTAGACCTATTTTCAGCCGTGCAAGGTTTTCTTCAGGCTTGAAAGAGAATTGCTGAGATACAACTAAGGGGTTTTAGGTGGGATTTTTTGTTTGTTTGTCTTTGATATATTTGGGCTTGTTTTGTTTTTAGGGAGCTAAAGCTTCAATATGTTCAAAGCTTCAAAATTTTCCTTAGCTGTTTCCTACCTGAATTTTATAGCCTTCTGTTGTATGCTGTCCACAGTTTGACTGATGTCCCAACTTATAGGCAACCTTTGATTTTGTTTTGGTGCTTAATTGAGGACTTTTATTTCAGATTCCAGGTAACATCATCTGTTTTGATGTAAGGTGATCTTCCCTTCTTGCAGAAATCATCTTTTTTCTGTATACTCTCTTTTTACCTCTAAACTCAGTCACATAGATGCAGGAATCCTTTCATGGACATTTGGAAGGCGTCTTTACCTCAATAATGTTAATTTTTATAGATTGTGAGATACTGAGACTATATGGAAGGCTGTAATATTCTGCTTGTAATAAAAAGCAGTAAACTGTATGCGTATGAAATTAGCCAGAACAAAATGGGTGAGTTAATACAGGATGTATTCAGTGAAGGTTTTAAGAAAGTAATACAATTAAAGCCAGTCAGACACAGTTTTATTGCAAATAGGGTTTGGGAAGAAAGTCATATACGCAGAATGAGGAACTGCAAGAAGAAAAGCAGTGACTGAGAAGACCTGGGGTCACAGCAAAAAGAAAACCAGTAGGAGCTCCCAAGACTAATGCTGTGGTAGAACAGAAGTGCTAATGGAGCTCTCTAGTGTATAATTCAGGGAAGTGACAGGAGCAGGATTAAGGCTGTTTTCATCTCATACAATATACTGACAAATAGGAGTAGTGCCAATAGTTCTTGGGTATGCATTATTAAAAGGTGCTGAACAACCATTTATACTTGCAAAAAACTTACCAGCTGAAATATTTGTGCTGTGAAGATCAGGTCTTATGATGAGGGACTTTGGGCTCAGCCTCTTTCACCTATCTGAACATGATTGAAGAGATGATTTTATTAGTATTCATGACTGTGTTCTAAAGACAGGAAAGTGCTAGATACTTACTGCCAGATCTCTTCAATCTATCAGAGAAAGTCATTACAAAATCTTTTGGCTGGACATTGAAGCAAATCTAATGGAAATCAGAAATTAGACTTGTACTTAAATGTCTTCCAATGCCACTAATTATCCACTAGAACAAACTGCTAGTGGATGTCTTCAAATCAAGGCCCAAAGTTTCTCTGGAAGATGTGCTTTAGCAAAGCTCAAATTGCTTGGCTGAAATTGCACAGCAACAGTTCTGTGTAAATGAGCAGAATTTAATTTCTCTGATATACCAAAGATCATATAAGAGGAACTAGTTTTGTTTTAATTTTGCCTGATATAATATAAAGTTATAAAAGTACTGCCAGTCTGACATGAAATCTTAGTTACAAATCAATGATATTTAAGATTCAGAAACAATGTGATAGTCTAGGAAACTGATTTGCCAAAGTGCTATTTCCATTCCATTTTTGTATATATTGATTTAGTTACTATTTTGAATCCAGACAAGGAGGGATTAGATCATGCAGTTTGTTGGCAGTGATTAAATCAGTTCTTGATTTGCTTTGTCTCAGTATGAACAGTAACTGGCATTTCTGCTAAAAGTTCCAATTTGTCATTGATTTGAAGGCTGCTAGGATTGATCTCCTCACAGGATGATTTGTAAGGCGTTTTGTTCTTTTTAACATAGGAGGAAGTTCTTCAAATTGCAAAGTGTGGTTCTCCTTAAAGATTAACAGCAGACCTGCAGCACCAGAAAAAACCATAGATGTGAAGTGCAGAGCTCTGGTAAGATTACTCTAAATGTTTTATTTTCTTCTACTACATTAGAAGAAAAATGTAATTTTTATTGTTGTTCCGGCTGCCATCACAGAGGATTAATCAGTTTTATGAAGTGGCCACACACAATCACTTTTGGAGTAATAAAAGCTCAGTACTTACTAAGACCTCATTGAAGCTCAGTGTTATGCACTGAAATGAATGCTTGGAACAGGTGCATCTTTATCCTGTTTGGAAAATTGCACTTTTATTCTGGTGATGTCTGCTTCTAATTTTGGATCTCAAATAGGGCTGAATTCTATAAAAGCTTCAAGCAGTTTCTATACAACAGAATAAGGCTCTTTTGGTACCTTTCTTCCTTATTCATGCCAAATTATTATTGTCATTTAAATGTCATTAATCATTGGGATGTATTTAATCATATTTGTATTACTAGATGAATGCATATGTTCACTCTCAAAAATAGTGTTAGTCATATTAGAAGAATAATTGCCTCGTATGAAATAAGTTAGATGTTTTAAGTCACTTAAGTGCATAAAGATAAAATAATGGTTTAGTAGGTTTGCTAAACTAATATTGTTTTAATTTTCCACAGATTTGTAATTGTATTTATATTTGAATTACACTTTGCATGGTTTTTCTTTTCAGAACTAATTTTTTTGTCTTCTCTAATGGTATCATCTTGACATTCTGCTTTCTGCATGAATTGGAAGCAGCTAAGAAATGCTCCTTTAATAATGGATGGTGGTAACAGGTTCTATGAATAGAAATGGATGGTACAGTATTTTTCTGCAGGAACATTTTTGTAAATATAAATATGTGATACAAGTACTAAGGGAATACCTCTTCCAGTCACAGAAAGGAGGAGTCTCATCAGTTGGTTTTACATGTGTTTATATGAGGGAAAATATCCAAAGCAGTAGGCATTTCTGAAAATATTTAAATTGTGCATCACTCCGTTTTTGCTCTTCTTTCCTTCAAGTGTAGCATCCTGATTGTGAACTTCA